CTTTGATCCCTGCTTTCCCCTCCATTTGCTAAGCCCCACTTAAATTTCTTAATTTGGGGTTAGAAAAGTCTTATACATGGGGGTGTCTTATACACAGAAAAATATGGTACTTTCTTAAAATCATTTGGCCTTATTTCCAAATAATTGGGTTATACAAGTACTTTTTAGACACTTGCTACCCATTCACAATTCTGACTGCACCAAATGAAGAGAAAAAAGAAAATTCAAGGCTCATGGAAGGGCATCAAATAATAGAAAAGAAACAAAACTGCTGTGTCATAGAAATCAATATTTTAGTTCAATTCTTAAGGATAAACGGCAGTCTTATTAAAGTGCCTTTTCAGAAGAAGGTACTTATTGAGCTCTGAAGAGGGAGGTTCCTAGGATGGCTGGTCAAATAATAGGATACACAGTCAAGCCTAGACCATGTACCCTGAGAAAACAGAGTAATTATACAATAGGGGTATTATCTGGAAGCAATGGCAGAAAAGTGGCATCACACAAATGTTCTGGAAGGGTACTGAAGTGTAGGAAGCATCAAAGCACAGCAGGTAACATAATTAACAAGCACAGGAGATTTCTAGTGGATGAACACAGCAGTATTAGAAGAGTACTCTAATCATACCATGGTCATGAATATACAGTGGTGCCTCGTTAGACAATGATACTGTCTAGCGAGGCACCACTGTAATGGGGAACAACGGAGAAATACTGTTCTTCTCCAAGATCTACTGGGTGTTTAGTTACTAAATGAGTACCCATCCACATGGAGCATTTGTTGCTACCTCTTGTGGGCTGCTTGGTGTTGCCTGGTGCCTCATGAGTAAGTATCTGTCCACATGAATTCTTAAAACCCTACTCATCTTTCCTTTGAGAAATTAAGCTGTCCTCAAGTAATGACTCAAAAATATTTCAAAACTCCTGGAAAAACACTCTAAGAACAATCTTTTTTGCTGGATTTTTTTTCTTTTTGTTCTAACAGATTAGTAGCAAACTGAAATCTTCTACTACCCTTGAAAGCAAGCATCCACTGATAATCCACTTTGGAAAAGTACTTGTCTTTAAAAATGACTATTTTAAAAATCTTTAGGAAATCCTTTAGGAATGATCTCCACTAGATCTCTGTTTTTGTTATTTTTAGATTAGTGTTAAATTGAAAGCCAAGAGTCAAGAAACTCTTGCTATCTGAACTGTACTCCAATATAAAATGACGCAAACAAAACTTTCCAGGAAATGTTTTTTAAAACACAGAAAGCCAGGTTTGTTTATTTGTTTTACACTCTTTGGTACCAATATCTGTTTTCTGAATAGCAAGAAAAATACCAGTATTGTTAATGAGGTGTGTGTGTGTGTGTGTGTGTGTGTGTGTGTGTAAATGCTCCATCTGGATAAGTCCTGTTTGTGCTTAGAAGATTCCACATCTTCTCTCTACTCAATGAATCAACACATGTGGTATACTTTGCAAACTAACAGATGTAAGTGGTTACAGAAAGGGTAAGTGACAGAAGAATATACTTAACACTCTTGCCTCTTGCAATCCCTACCCTACAACCCTTAAAGGCCACCAAAATGTATTAATACTGAGTGCCCATGTCTCCACACACTCACCTCTCTTTTGGCTTTCAAAAGAAACATTTCATCTGTTTTTTCAAAGGATTCTTTTAAGGCCACCTCTGGATTTTTCAGGATCTCCTTGTGATGTGCCAAATTTACATGCAAATGAGTCGCTGCATAATTAGCAGCATCAATTCCGCCATGACCATCGAAGACCGCAAAGTAAGCTCTGTCCACATTGTCCTGTAGGTAGCATGGTCGTGTAAACACAGACAAACAAAAACAGAACAGAAATTCATTTCCTACAGATCGAAGCAGAACTAGAAGGAAACTTTGAGTTTCAAATGTCCCTCTGGTTGTATGATTATGGGCAAGCAGAGCAACTGACATTTGCTGAATCTAATCACTTCACAATGACCTTTATATGGGTCACCCTCACATCTTTAAGCAATGACACCCTACTCACTACTACAATAACCTACAAAGGTAGAAACATTAAAACCACAGATTGGCCACATGTGACCCTTCAGATGTTATGGAACTGCAACATATATCACTACTGGTTATGCCGATTAGAACTAATTAGAGATATGGCCCCACAATAACAACCAGGGAGCCACACAGTCTTGCCTCACAAACAGTAAGGGGCATTTAGAAGTTCAGATTATGATCTTACATTATTAGAACACACAGCCTAGCACACAGCTTGTGTAGTCCACCTATTACCAGTTGGACAGTTGATTCCTCACAGCACTTTGACACAATAATAGTCATAATACTCTGTCATGATTCTCACTGAGGCTCCAGCAGAATTTGTGGGGCTCAACTAGCCTGACTTCCCATACAAAATGTACATGCAGAGGGACACACATATGTGCCCTATAACCACAAACTTCTCTGCTTTCAACTCTCTTCTCTGATGAGGTAACTTGTGGCACAACTGTATTGTGGGGACAGGTGTCCTTTCGGACAAGAGCCCACTGCTCCTGCTTCATGTATACAGACCACATCAAATTTGCAATTTTGAAACAACGACCGGGGGGAAAGAAGAAAAGAGAAAGAGAGAGAGTGAGAGAAATTTGCCCTTGTCAAAACTGGATGATTTCTGCTCATTTCTTCTGAGCACCTAAAATATTCTCAGAAGTGCATGGTGGCTATTAGTAGCTATCCATGGTCCTTCCTCTGAGGGACATACCGTCAGGCCAAAAAGTTGATTAAAATCCGGGAGAGAAACATGTCTGTCCTCCATTTTCCGGCGGGTATTCCGGGTTGCATGGACAGAAATCTGGAGATAGCGCTCAAGGGGCTTCAGGGTTGGCGGCTGCTTCTGCCACTTGCAGCAAACATCCCAGAGTTTGTTGAAGAAGCTGTGCTGCAAAGGTCCTCCATCCAGTACTATAACAAGAAAAGAAAAAAAGGAAAGGAAAAAGGAATGAATACAAAGTCAGCATAATTTTGGTTTCTCCCTTGTGCCATTTCTCTCACTGCCCGAGGTTTCTATCCTGACTTTGCAAATACACTAGACGGTGTGCTAATAATCTTGTTCTCACGGCCTAGTTCCATGTTTAAATATTAATTATGGCTAGTAAAAAATTATGCTGTGATTGTGGAACTCAAAGCAACAATGCCAGGAATCCTGCTTTAGAACAGGATGAGGCAGATTTTAGGCTTTTGGGATGTACTCTTTTTTTTAACCAGAAAACTGAGGTCTACTAACTAAAGCCAGTTGTGCAGTATTACAAGGCCTCCACAAACTGAACCAGCCTGTTGGATAAAACTACTGTTTCCTAGCACCAAAGCCACATAATTTTATTGCTATTGCAATGTGCATTATTCTGTCACACTGTCTCCAGGAGAAGGGCAACATGAAAAATGAAATAAAATAAAATAAAATGTTAAGCATCATGTTAGCAAGGATTGTATTAATGCAGCTTCCTATGAGGACAGTTTGAAAAGGCCAATATAGGAGAATCGGTCAACATACCATGTGAATAAGGACGTCTGAGGTTCTTTGACTCTAGAACGGCTTCTTGAGTCAAAGTGAGGTTTTCAAGTGAGGAATGCAAGTAGCCTCCCACATGCAACTGAATTGCTACACGAGTCGGATCAGAAATGGTGCATTTCTTCCTATAATACATCAAGTCTGTAAATCTAGCCCAGCCTCCTAGTTACTGGAAGAGCAGGATGACACCATGCACGTCTTTGTTCAGTAAATACAACCTGTTCAGCGTCAAGCTTATGAGATGCAGACAGATTTGAAAACTGTTTCCAACCTGCCACCAAGACGTGTTTGTCAGATAAAACAGTCTGTTTACTTTATCTGTATGGTTCAGATCTGAAGTGTTAACCCACCTTTGGCTGCTAACTTTAATCTTGTGTGTCTGGAATCTCAAAGTAGAAAATCACCCTATGCCTGAATTTTAAAACAAAGTACTCTGAAGTACAAATTGCTGATGGAATCTTGTTAAACATTCATTGATCACAACCCAACATATGACATTGAGCTCTAGAAGGGGAGATGTCAGTGCCTTTGAAGCTAAATTCTAGCTTTATTGTGTGATGTGCTTGTCAAGGTGATTTCAATTTATTGCAGTCCCAGTACAGTGGCTGAGTTAAGCGCAATATTTAAGTGGCGGTTTCACCAGGGCCATCATCTCCCAGTGCATTTTCATGGGAGAACAGGACTTTGAATTCAGGTCTCATGAGTCCTAGTGTGACACTATATCCACTATGCTACATGGGCTCTTGACAACTTCGTTAGGGGCTCTTGAAAATGGAGAATTATCACTGGTGGATCCTGCCAGATCTATCTTGTTCAGGAGAGTATGCGTCTAACACAGGACCAGTTTTGCCACTAGTAACTACATAAGACTGCATATAGAAAGTTAGTGACTGTGTTGCATCTTTTGACAAGGCTTGGAAAAGTTAATTTTCTGTATTAGAGCTCACACACACCAGCTTGCACAATTCATGCTGGCTAAGGATTCTGGAGGTTACAGTCTAATCTTGTCTAACCTCTACCTTTCGTCGCTGTTTAGTCGTGTCCGACTCTTTGTGACCCCATGGACCAGAGCACACCAGGCCCTCCTATCTTCCACTGCCTCCCAGAGTTGTGTCAAATTCATGTTGGTCGCTTCGCAGACACTGTCCAGCCATCTCATCCTCAGTCGTCCCCTTCTCCTCTTGCATTCACACTTCCCTAACATCAAGGTTTTTTCCAAGGACTCTTCTCTTCTCATGAGATGGCCAAAGTACTGGAGCCTCAGCTTCAGGATCTGTCCTTCCAGTGAGCACTCAGGGTTGATTTCCTTTAGAATTGATAGGTTTGTTCTCCTTGCGGTCCAGGGGATTCTCAAGAGCCACCTCCAGCACCACAAAACCCTAACCTCTACCTTTAATTTTCTATAATGTCCTGTGTTCTTTGTATCTTTCAATGTCAATGTTAAAACAATCAAACTTTGCTTATTTTATTTGTTGCATTTATACTCGCTCATCTAGTGCTTGAACACAACTCTGAGAAGCTAACAGTAGTTAAAAACACAACTAACCATCCCTGGCCACAGATACATAAATAAAGAAAACCAGGAAGCATTAATAACCCTAGCATATCTAAATAGAATGAAACCAGGACAACAAATCAGAATCAATATTAATTCAATTCACTGGTCCACAAGGGTGTCAAAAGGGTAAGATATTTCTAAGGCCTCTTCAAAAAAAATAGTTTTTTTACCCATTTCCTGAAGGCCAGGAGGGAAGGAACATTTTTTTACCCATTTCCTGAAGGCCAGGACGGAAGGAACATACAGTATACCTGTGGGTAATGCATTCCATAGCATTGTGGCCACCACCAGAATACCTGGCGATAGTATTCTGGGCCTCTCTGGGAGTGACAACCTGCAAACACGACACCTGGCTGGCCCAGGTGGACAATCATAGGGACCTTGCTTTGCTGGGTTCCTACTTCACAGAAGTACATAAGGGCTCCTGTCTTCAGATCTGACCAGACACTTGGTGTGCTTCTTGTGGACAATCATAGGGACCTTGCTTAGCTGGGTTCCTACTTCACAGAAGTACATAAGGGCTCCTGTCTTCAGATCTGGCCAGACACTCAGTGTGCTTCTTCATACTGTTGTCTCCACATGTGGGACTGGGATTAACTGGTTTTCAATGCATTGTAGGTCAATGGAGACTCGACTTACAGACTTTTCGACCTGCAGCCACCGTTCCAATACGAATTAATTCCGTAAGTAGAGGGTCCACTGTACTGTTGTCTCCACATGTGGGACACCTTCTTCCACTCCATTCTGAGGTAGATCTCTATTAAAGCTTCTTCTTAGAATTCAGACTCCTAGGCAACACTGCCACCAATGGTTCCTAAAGCAGCCCTGGTAAAAATGTGTTTTTCTTTTCCCTCTTGTTGAACTCTGCACAGCCAGCTCAAGTGACTAGCTGTGCGATAACTGCTATCAGAAAATAAAGAGGGGTCTAATGGCTCCCAAAGTGGCTGTTTAAGAGCCCTTTGCTGCCCCAGATTTTCCAGATGTTTTGCCCATTGTCAAGTCTCATTTCTAGGCTTTATATTAAATAAACAGCAAAGGGAGACAAAGCAAGACATAGCAAGAGAAGCTAGCAAAATCCTGTTCCTGCATAACCTCAGATCTTTTCTGAGACACAAAGGTGGCAGTCTGTTCCTGCATAACCTCAGATCTTTTCTGCTGAGACACAAAGGTGGCAGCATATAGATTTAAGATGGAATGAAACCTGCTTGGCCTAGTCTTGTTTTCGAGCACTAAAGCTGAGATTTCATTATCTAAGGGCTCATCTAGAGCTTCTTTTTCTTTCACTCTCTTTTTTCAAGTAAGTGCAGTACATTATTGTCTTTTCCAGAGAATCTTGCTTTCTCATGATGTGCCCAAAATGTGACAGCCTCAGATTCATCATCATTTTTGCCTCTAGTTCAGGCTTGATTTGATCTAGGACCCACTTGTTAGTCTTTCTGGCAGTCCACAGTATCTGCAAAGGTTTCCTCCAGCAACACATTTCAGATAAATCTTTTTTTTCCCTATTAGTTTTAACTGTCCAGCTTTCACACCCATACATGGTGATCAGGAATACAAGACCTTGGATGATTTTGGTGTCCAGTGACATATCCTTACATTTGATTATCTTTTCTAATTCCTTGATTAGTGCTCTTCTGAGTTTCATTGTTCTTCTGATTTCTTGGCTGCACTCTCCATTTGGATTGATGATTGAACTAAGATATACAAAATCTTTCACTGTTCCACAGTGTATTGACAGTTTCTTCACTGTCAATATTACAGTTGTGTAGTTCTTCAGTAAGTCGTGATTTTCATCTTCTTAATGTTCAGCTGCAGTCCTAGTTTGGCACTTTCGTCTTTCACTCTCATCAGACGTCGCTTCAAGTCATTGCTGTTTTCTGCCAGTAAGATGGTACCATCTGTATGTCTTAAATTATTGACGGTTCTTCCACCAATTATCACTCTTCATCTGAATTTAGTCTGGGTTTCCACATGATATGATCTGCCTAGACTGAACAGATAAGGGGATAAAATGCACCCTTGTCTGACACCTTTGTCTATAGGAAACCATTCTGTCTCTCTATCTTCTATCCTAATAGCTTCTTGCCTACAACACAGGTTACACATCAGGATAAATCAGGTGTTGAGGGCATACCTATTTCTTTCAGAACAACCTATCGTTTCTCATGATCTACACAGTCAAAGGATTTGCTGTAGTCTATAAAGAAATCCTACCTGCACTAAAAAAGCAGAAGCCCCTATCTGGAGCCAAATGGATGTGGGTAGGCATGGATCAGGGACAGGCTGGTTCACAACGGCCTGTATATCATGTGGAAAAAGGAGCAAACTAACTCAACCCACTCCCAATCCAGATCAAACTAAGGGACAAATCCCCCCCGCCACCATTGCACCTTCAATTTAGTACATTTTTAGAAGACATGCAGTTTTCATAATGCTCAGAAAATGGAGCCTATTTGTTACTTCACATTTATCTGGCCAGTTTTCCTGCTACTCTCCCTGCATTTCCGCTCATACTGAGGCTGGACAGCAGACTCTGGTAACATCAGTTCTGGATGCCACCGTTAAGCCACCCATCTGGTCTGTCAATGCCAGGATGGAATGGAAGCAACAGAAAAGGTCTGGAAATTTGCTTAAATTCCTAGTAAAATGCACAGCGAAAGGCCAGCTCTCTAAGGTCAAAATTAGCTACGAAAGTCCCCCCTCTTCTCTATTTTACTTAAGTTCCACCCTCTCCAAAGACTAGTCCTTTATGAAATAAGACTCAGGAGGCTATCTTCAGGTATAAAGCATTAAAAAAGCACTTTATTCACTTAAATTCCAGGAATACAGCAGGCTATCATGGCTCAAAGTTGATAGAAGAAAACAAAAGGGGAAAATAGTAAAAAGACATTTGTTTCCTCAGTCCATGTGGCTCTAGACAATCTGGAACACATAGGGATGCAGCCACCGCTCTTGCCTCTTGCATGGGTAAAAGGGTAATGGTGGTTTCTAAAACACATGTGGGGGAGAAAGGAGGAAGAAGGGTGGAGTTTTTCTTGCCCAGGGAAAATAAGCCCCTCTGATTAGTCAGCATGCAAACAAAAAACGTAAGCAGGTTAGTTTGTAAAACAGGCCCCTCTTCCCATGTGTTGAAATTTGCATCAAGATTGTTAATTAGCCAACACATAAAACATGCCATACCTAAAGGAGAAGTTTATAATTTTTAAAAAAACTGTATAGCTTTTTTATACCATGTTATTGTTATGTTGTTATGCTCCATGAGGTAGCTTCATGACCCTATGAATGAGTGACCCCCAAAATGCTTTTCATTAACAGAGTTGTTATGCTCCATGAGGTAGCTTCATGAGTGACCTCCAAAATGCTTTTCATTAACAGCTCAGCTCTTGCAAACTTAAAGCCATGGCTTCTGGTTGAGTCCATCCACCTTCCCTTTTTCCCCCTGCTATCTTCCACTTTTCCAGGCAGAACTGTTTTCGCCAGCAATTTTTGTTTTCTCATGATGTTCTCAAAGAAAGAAAAGCCTTGGTTTTGTCATTTTAATACTGTAAGTTGTTTCACTGTTTTATTATTTTATCTTGTCTATTTGTATCCATACTACTTCTATCTATTTTATCTGTGCATACTTTTTAATCTGATTGTGCACTTGCTTGAATTCTAGTCTTGGGAGAAAGGCAGGATATATGAAGATACGTACATAAATAATAAAGTTCACAAGTTTAGAAGGATGAAGCCAGAAGAAATGTTAAGCCAGTGATGTTTATGAATGGCTCATGTTTCATCTGCTACTGAGCCAAAAAACTCTGTGCATGGTCTTGGGCTAGCCACTTTCTCTTCGTTTAACTGAACTCCCAGGTTTGTTGAATAGATAAAACCGGGAGCAAGGACAGTGATGAAGGAGAAGAATCATGTTCGCCACCTAGCGGTCCTTGGCAGAAAGGCAGGATACACATAGAACCAAGCGCAGGAAAATTGTAATGCTGACTTTATTTGACATGACAGGGCAAACAACGACAAGACCAGTTTCAAATCTGGGTGAAAGGGGGCTGAAGAGATTCCAAAGGGGCATGGAATTGTGAGATATTCATTTAAAAATTATGATTCTGCTACTACAATTTAGGATTTCAAGAAAAAGTATCTGCCTATTTTTTAATTTAAAACATTTATTTATGTTTTTCTGTTTATTTTTAATTTTAAATTACAAATTGAAATGTTTTTAGGTAACGTTTTGATGTCATTTAAAGAGAGATGAGGAGGCATAAAGATTTGTAAAAATAAGGGAAATATGACATACCCTGTTTCCCCAAAAATAAGACCTACCCTGAAAATAAGCCCTAGTATGATTTTTCAGGATGCTCGTAATATAAGCCCTACCCCAAAAAGAAGCCCCAGTTAAATGAAATTCCACCCTTCACCCTTGTGCAGCAACCAGAAGATGACATGACTGTATTTGAATAAATGTAGATTGTTGACCATGAAAAAAATAAAACATCCCCTGAAAATAAGCCCTAATGCGGTTTTGGAGCAAAAATTAATATAAGACCCTGTCTTATTTTCAGGGAAACATGGTAAAATGTTTGGGAACCACAGGACTGGATGGCGCCTAAGTGGAGTGATCAAAGGCAAAGCCAGCTCTCTGATTAGTTAATAATAATAATAATAATTCTGACTTAGACAGCCCTTTCCAGGGGGCAAGTACTCAGAAGTGGTTTAACATTCCTTTACCATTTAAAATTATACACAGGTCTTTCTTTATTAATATCAGAGCATTGTACAATATAAGATTATGGACATAATCTGAAATATAGGTAAAATTAAAAACAAATTAAAATGTTAAGATAATTAGACTACTTTTGCTCAAAAGCAGGCTACTTCAACTGTGTTATCTCAGCCATTTGCTAGATCTTCTCGTATACATGTTGTGGGGCATAAACTGCATGCACAGAGGTGTCGCATGGATGGAATTTTTCCACAATTTGTCCTGCATCCAAGCAGCCCTGTTTCACTTTATTACAGTATTCTTTAATCTTCCTGTTTTGCTTCAAAGTGTATTAACCGACTTCAAAATGATCCAGCTAGGGCCCTGTCATAGAATCATAGAATCCTGAAGGAGCCTATAAGGCCATCGAGTCCAGCCTCTGCTCTGTGCAGGAATACAGATCAAAAGGTGGTTGTCTAAACTTCTCTGGAGAAAGACACCTTTCAGCATTCAGTCATTTGGCAAGGTGTTGTCGTTATTGCTCTCTGTAGGTTTAGCCCAGTCTCTTCTGGTTTAAAATTTAGAGTTTGAGATGTGTGTAGAAAACTTTTCCTCGATTTCAGTTAATGTTTGGGGATAATAATAACAGACATTTTTAATGGGGTAGATTTCAGGCAGCTAGTAATAATCCTGCATGCAGAATGAAAAACACTACTTTTCTCTGCCTATACAGAAGCACTGCACGGTACAGACTATATTCCTCTTTTTGCACCATTTAAAGTGCAGCCTATATCAACACTCTGGCAGCATTCCTGTTCCGATAACTTCACTGTATACAAAGTTGTTTTTCAGGATGGTTTGTTTAATTTAGAATACAGCTGCTACAATTTAGACTCAGATAGCTTGTTTACAGGAAACAAAGAGTACAGAACAGTAGTTGGAATAAGGGCTGGGAAGAAGGGTGAGCAACTTAGTTTTTATTAGTCTTATTAAACTTTTTTAAAAGTGACAGTGACTTCCTCAGGACAATTTAAATACAGGATGGTTTATGTCTGCCACATAGTTTTACTTAAGACTGTTGTCAAGTTTCATCCAACACCAGCACGGAAACAGTCTGAGGCAAAGCTACATCCTTCCCCATAAATAGCAACACTCTATGAATTGACCAGAAAGATTACATTAAAACAATTAGAAAGACAAACTCTTTGAGGAGTATTACAGAAAATGCATTACTGTAACCAATCTGTATAGAATAACAAGAAATCTACCACTTATACAAATATGCAGAATTTGTATACTATTTTAGATACATTGTAAATCACATGGAAATTCATATTATGGGAACCCCAAGCTGCTGAATTGGATCTAAACCTAGACTTTGACTCCCCACAAGCCTGCAGCTCAGTGGCAGAGCACACATTTCATATGTAAAAAGTCAGAGGTTCCATGTACAGCTGAGCAAGATTAGTTCTTGCCATAATCCAGGAGAAACACTACCAGTTAGTGCACAAGCAATGTTACGTTGGTGAACCAACCTATTCAAAGATTAGGTTAGGCCTCTTCACAGACTTTCTGGATTGTTCATTTCTAAATTTCTATACAAGGATTCTGGTTCCTTTGCATCACCTTTAAAGCCTCCTAAGGAACTTCTATACTTCACACACATATATGTGCAGCTGCAGAGACCTATTGTCTTTGTGTTGGCGAAGAAAAATAGCTTCATTTTGTCTCCTTTTCAGGGAACTTTGCCACAGGTCATGTGATACCTAATTCACTCATCAAGCCTTACTTTCCCACTATTTATTTATTTAAAATATTTTTATCCCGCCTTTCTCCTTGAAAAGGAACCCAAAGCAGCTTAGAACAAAATGAAAGACAATACAGTGGTGCCTCGTATAGCGAGGTTAATCCGTTCCGGATTAACCTTCGCTATAGCGAAACATTGCTGAACGGGACAGGGAAAGCCATTGGAACGCATTAAACATTGGAACGTGGTGGCGCTGTGGGCTAAACCGCAGAAGCCTGTGCTGCAGGGTCAGAAGACCAAGCAGTCGTAAGATCGAATCCACGCGACGGAGTGAGCGCCCGTTGCTTGTCCCAGCTCCCGCCAACCTAGCGGTTCGAAAGCATGCAAATGCGAGTAGATAAATAGGGACCACTTCGGTGGGAAGGTAACAGCGTTCCATGTCTAAGTCGCACTGGCCATGTGACCACGGAAGATTGTCTTCGGACAAATGCTGGCTCTATGGCTTGAAGAGCGGGATGAGCGCCGCCCCCTAGAGTCGGGCACGACTGGACAAAAATTGTCAAGGGGAACCTTTACCTTTACCTTATGCCTATGCATCAATCACTTCATATTTGGATTACTGAATTATACACAGGGTGCTTTTAAAGATGGTTTACTTAGAGCAGAACACAGCTGTCACAGCTGAGTCCAAGACACTTTGCTCAGATCATCTCAGCAGTTTTAATAGAGCTTAACTGGAAGGTATGTGTAAATTCTATTCAAAGTACTGCTGCTCACTGTTAAAATCTTCATTGCAAATCATATACCTGAGAGATTGCTTACTCCACCTGGCTTGTAATCTAATGCCTTTCCTTAAATGCCTCTTTAGTGTGAAGCAAAACTGATAGCAGCTAAAGATAAGATCATTTTGGCTGCTCTGTCTAATTGTGGAGTGTCATTTCCGTGTCAATCTTTTAGGTGCCAGGCTATATATTTTTTGCTTGCTCCTACATTTTAAATATTTTTTTACCTTCTATCTGCTTCTTGTCCATGGATTATAATTGTGCTTTCATGTTGTATTATCAAGGAAATCAGTCTGAAATTCATTGTGATGATGAATTATACATAAAGGTTTTCAATTAAGTATTAATGAAACAAAAGCAATCAAGGAACATCTATCAAACAGTAATGAGCTTTAGCTTAGGATTCAAATATTAAAAACATTCCTGACAGATGCAAAGGTACTCACAGGAAGATGTCCCATGATCGCCAGCTTCCTCTCCTTCCACATGGGGCTTTTTAAACTCACTAAGATCAGTCTGTAGTAAATCACCAATTGCAGCATGTATCAAAGCAGCAGCAAGGATGGGTGGTGCATTCCTAATTTAAGGGGAATAGAAAGGAACAAATGCTGATATCAGCTGCATAGACAAAGCAAGGCAATTTTTGGACAAATGAAGTACATTTTTCAAACCCAACATTTCTCAAAATAATGTGTAATGGTAATAGTATTTGTTAATTTAAAGTACTAATACTATATCAGTTTGCTTTTTTTTAAAGGTAAGATGCTTGACCATGCTGCCTTTACTAGCAAAGCTGAAAATGTGGCGGGCAAGCAACAGGAGATATGGAAGGAGGGGAGAAAATATTCAGCATTATGCAGTATATAGGAATAAATGGAATGGAAGCAGTTCAGTTCAGTTATAGTTCAGTACTAGCAGTTTACAATCCCAAATGGACACAGTACAAAGGAAGTGGAGGAATGGAGGCAGGTAAATTGTGGAAGAAGATGTGATAATTTCAGTGATGTGTACCACTACTTGATTGGGATTAGGGGATAGTCCAAGGGTTTCCTAGAAAAAGTGCAGTTCTCATTTTTAGCAGATCCAAAATAATTAGAGGTGATTCTCAAAAGTAATGTAAGAAATGGAAATGATGATTTTGGTCTAGGAATATGTAACATTGTAAAATCATTTTAATGCTATTTCTAAAGGGCATTCTAGGGGCAATTTGAGGTGCACTTTTTAAGTTTTATGCCATGATTTTATCACCCTGGGTTAAAAAAAAAAATTAGAAATTAGTGGTAATGGAATAGGTAACTAAATAAAGGATTTGTGTGACATTGGTAAATTACTGGGGTGGGGGAGAGGCTTTTCAACAAGTTACATATCAATATATTTTCCCCCCAGTAACGGTACAAACTGTGAAAAGTTCTGGATACAAATGAAGTCACACTAATACTTTTGTAGAACACTAAAAGACTGTCACCAAATATCATAGCAAAAACTAACAGTCTTGTGGCACATTAAAGATTAGTACATTTTATCAGTAGCCCGAATTTCATTTGATCCATTTGAAGAAGCAAGCTGTAATCCTTGAAAATTTATGTCAAATAAAACATGTTGATCTTTGAAGCGCCACAAGACTGTTGTGCTGCAGCAGACTATGTGGTAACGGGATTTCCCCTCTCAACGTTTCTGCTTGGGTGGAGCTGGTGTGTAGTTAGTTTTGTTTTCTTCCGTATCTAGAAGAACTGGGCACACAAACACAATATAACCATATCACCAATATACATGTGGCACACTTTTTCCAGAGTTGTATAATAAATACAAACAATTGCCAGATTTGTATAATAGCAGTGATATTTTGTGATACAGTATTTCAATCTCATTCAGCCATGTTAACAGCTATGTGAATCAGAGCGCTGCATTTCATAACAAAGTACACAGATTATATATCTAAGACAATACATTTAATTTTACATACACATGCCACCCAGTTTAAAATGATTATAAGCAGCAGCATCTTAAAAAAGATCTTTGTCTCTTCTATTCACACAGCAAGATGATTACTTTCCATTCTTAGCTAACTGTATTTCCTGTTATTCTGTCTTTCCCAATGCAACCATATTTCACATAAAAACAGAATTAGTAACAATGGCATCCTTTTTCCTTCCAGAATTTCCTGCAGGAAATAATCACAACTTTTGTCACAAGTTTGGATTCCTTTTAAGAAAATTAAGTGAAAACAATATAAATGAAAAAAATCTGGCCTTTCATGAGTTATTTTATTCTTAATGAAGCAACTGTCTACACACAGTAAAACACAAATATTTTGTGACATTCTGTCATGGAGGAGACACACTATAGCTGCAGATGGATAAGTATGCTTGCGTTCACCACTTTCTTTTACATTGGAGGGGGCGGGGTATAAATTCAATAAAATAAATAATAAATAAAGTACACAGTAACTTTAGAAAGCCTAAGAAGAACTAAGGAAAAATAGGAGTACGAAGGAGGAAAATAATCTCAACATGGCAGAACAGTGCCTGGGGGCAGAGAAGCAGGGAATTTGTTTGACCTAAAGTACCAAACCCAAAAGCAAGAAGGCTGCATTGAGGAAATTCTACTTTCATACACTTGAAGAAGCCTCATTTAGTGGGACAGGAAGAATTTGAAAAGAGCATTATATCACCCACCCAAACATCCGTTTACAAATAACCATTGCTACAGCACAGAATTTGGGCACTTGTCTTGTAATATAAGGGGTACAGATTTATTTACTCTTCTACTAGAATACAGATAGATTGATCTCAGCCAAAACTGCCTGTTATACTTCAAAAAATTAGTGCCGTTTTTGCAGAATATCCCTGTTCTACTGAAACTTCCAACAAGACTAATGGCTGGTCAAATAATCCAACTTTCCTCAAATACCATGGATGGGGAGATTTTACACAATACACATTTCTTATTTGTAGAAAGAGTGTACAGTAATGAAGTCTCAGAAGGATCAAGTTTTGCTGGGTGGGAGAGCTGGCACACCTTCCTTAAGAATTCTTGTGGTGGAAAAGAAGTAATAAAATTAGACATGGACTGACAGTTTCGGAGTCTTGAGATTTTAGTATCTCTAAGGCACACAGTCTTTCCAACAAGCACTAGCTGCAGGGCAGGTATGCAAAAAATGCAGCCACTGACAGTTAGGCCCCTTCTTGCATTACCAACAGGAATGACAGTTTAGAATGATGAAAGAGTTGCCAACACAGCATGAACTTCACTACAAGAGAGATCTGTCTTTACTCATTTGGTGTACCCCAGATGTTCTGGCCTACAATTTCCATTATTTCCTGCTGATTGGGGACAGCATGAGTTGAAATCCAAACGTCCGGAGGATGCTGGGTTGAAGGCACTTGACATACACAATACAGGAGGCAAGGGCAGATGTGTACCTCCTCCGGCCAACAACAACAAAAAAAGGACTGACTCCTAAGGCTATGTTGCTGCCCAGCGTAGTACAGGCACAATCTCCTGCTCCCCTCTCTACGTTCTGGAGATTTTGCACAAGGCAAATGTCTCCACCTGCCTTCCAGGTTTTGCTTTTGCTCTATGCTTGCTAATCAGCTGGCGTACCAGGCAAGAATGGGGCCAAAAACAAAACTCCCAGCCTTTCAGGGACCAATCACCTTGTTCTGGAGCCCCTAAGGCAACCCTGAAGCCCGCCAGTCACCAGAGGCTGCCTAAACACTGGCAAAGTATGTTGTGGATTCCTACCTTATGCGAAATTCATTTTTTAAAAAACATGGTCTAATAACATCTGTGTAGCAAATAACTGTGTTCCTGGAAAGGCGGGGGTGACTACTTGTTTAATAAGCACCAATAATGATGCAGGAGGAATGGAGGCATCCAGGACTTATTCCCAGCTTATTGATTCGTATGTTTGCTCTTTCCTTAAGTTTGAGATGACACCAAGCTAGTTTTATGTGTAGACTCACTTATATTGATGGAGTAAAAGCGGACAGAATCTACCCCATCAAATTCTCTCATTTCATCTCCATTTTCAAAAGACCTCAGGGTTCCGACTTCCTATTCCACAACACACAGAGATCTGAATGTTGAACTTCCTCTACCCTGTGTTCCCCAAGGAAATGAAATAGCAATGTGCAGCCTGTTAAGGAAGTGGCTCTCCACCTCAGCGGAAGCAAACTCAATTTCCTCCTTCTCTTCACTTCAGTGATCTCAGGCTAGTCTGACAGCACAAAGCCAGCCTTTCATTCAGCAGAGGTCTGACAACCTGCATTTAATTCATAATAGTCTACAATAATTATTACTTTTAAACAGCATATGGAACATGGCAAACACATTATACAAAGCTGCAGAAAATATACAATCCTGCCCCCCCCACACACACATTCTCAGGGGAGAGCTGAAATATCTGCATGCCACTTGGATGCCTTTTTAGATGGAAAAGCATTAATACCCGATGCCAGTATCAGGGTTTAAACATTTAATTATGGCATCATAACAGAAAAAATTGATTGGATAAAATATATTTATGAAAGAAATAAGAGAACAAACTAGAGTACTACCAGTTTCCCCGAAAATAAGACCTAATCTGAAAATAAGCTGTAGTAGGATTTTTCAGGATGCTCATAATATAAGACCTACACCAAAAATAAGCCCCAGTTAAGTGAAAACCTGCCCTCCACCATTGTGCAGCAACCAGAAGAAGATGGCATGGCTGTATTTGAATAAATGTAGATTGTTATACATGAAAAAAATAAAACATCTCCTGAAAACAAGCCCTAATGCATTATTGGAGCAAAAATTAATATAAAAGACTGTCTTATTTTCGGGGAAACACAGTATTGTCTAGCTTGTGTCTCAGAACAGATCAATAAAAGCATTAAAATAATTCTATTTAAAATGTAAATGCTATGCTTATTTGAGAAATTAAATAACGGGCAGAATCTAGTTAGATGTTAACAGCAGCCACACAAGCAAAAACAGACCATTTGCCAACTGTCTATCGCACACCACATAGATATCGAGTTGCGTAATGGAGGGGGTTTCACTAGTTGCACAATGGGATGCTCAACTGACAGCTGTCAAATTGCAAGAACTGCTCCGTTGTGCATGTGATGTTTTGCCGTAAGATTTTGGTGAATATAAATGCACATTTAGCATCTCAAATTAAAACCTACAATAATGATTAAAAAATAACAGATAAAAGGTTCCCCCTTTTAAAAATTCAAACTAGTAGTTTTACATATAAAAGGCACATAAAAGGACCAAAGTGATTCAAGGTTACAGTATTTATTAATTTCTTCTTGGTAGAGCATATTATCTATTCTGCACTACATAAAAGCTTTGCTGTAAAACTTGAAAAGACCTTGATGTTAGGAAAGTGTGAAGGCAAGAGGAGAAGGGGGCGACAGAGGATGGGATGGTTGGATAGTGTCATCGAAGCGACCAGCATGAATTTGACACAACTACCGGGAGGCAGTGGAAGACAGGAGGGCCTAGCGTGCTCTGGTCCATGGGGGTCATGAAGAGTCGGACACGACTTAACAACTAAATGACGACGAAAACTGAAAAAGTATAATCCTATTATTTGCAAATATGCCGACCTGAAGTCAATCAGATTTTCTTGAGGAAAAATTATAGGATTTCATTGGATTGCAGTATCGGGTGGAACAGATTATCATCTACACAAAGGATGAGCAATTTGTGGCCTTCATGGGAGGGATGACTACAACTGCCATCTTCCTCTTAATTGACAATGCTGATAAGGGCTCATGAGAACTGCATTCCAATCCCACCTGAAGGACCATGTGCACCCCCAGTCCTTCTCTGCAGTGATGACCGTAAAAAAGAGGAAAAATATTTAAAAATAAAAAGAGAGTTTTATATAAGGCAAAGTCAAAATCCTACAAGGTAGGCGTCAGCAGTATGTGGACTGAGAACTCCCAGAAGTACAAGCTGGATTCCGAAGAGGCAGAGGAACTAGAGACCAAATTGCTAACATGCGCTGGATTATGGAGAAAGCCGAGTTCCAGAAAAATATCTACTTCTGCTTCATTGACTATGCAAAAGACTTTGACTGTGTGGACCACAGCAAACTATGGCAAGTCCTTAAAGAAATGGGACTGCCTGACCACCTTATCTATCTCCTGAGAAACCTATATGTGGGACAGGAAGCAACAGTTAGAACTGGATATGGAACAACTGATTGGTTCAAAATTGGGAAAGGAGTATCTGTACAGAACTGAATCAAAGTTAGGCAATAGATAGCAAGATGGCATCAAGTGGCCTGTCAACTTTAGGGAAATATTTCTTTCCTCCATTATGGTTAATCTATTTTTCTCTCTGTCTTATTTAGAAGTGTCTGAGTGTATCATGGATACTTTAAATCTCATCTGCGCAGTGTCCTTAGGAGCTTTGTCTAAACCCAGACAACAGTGAAGTAAGCAGACAGGAACTTAAAAGGCAATACAAAGCCTCCCCTCTTCTCTCAAGATGATGGCCTTGTTCCTCTTCCTTATGGCATGCCATCCTATATCAAATGGTGGTAGTATTCTGGAGTGCTTTTCTTTAATTTTAATTTTGGTGAGCCTTTGTGACACCAGTTAGAACCTGGAAGCTGCTTCTCACCCCTTCTTGACCTTGTAGCTAAATGTCCTGTTCTAGTGACTGTACATAATGCAGAGCTGAGACAGCCCTTGATGTGCGTGTCGAGACTCAATTTTGTTGGTTGTTGTAGGTTTTTCGGGCTCTTTGGCCGTGTTCTGAAGGTTGTTCTTCCTGACGTTTCGCCACTCGCTGTAGCCGGCATCTTCAGAGGACCAGAGTAGGAACTCTGTCCATGCTCTGTTGCTGTTTGTTGGAGCAGGGATCTGTCACACGTAGCTCTCTTTTCTGTTGCCCTGCTTTGTAAGCTTCCCCGGAACAGCTTCTTAGGCACTGTCCTTGTTTTACATTCATTTATTTGATTTTCCATGAAGTAGGTACTTCAATAAGAGGTACTCTCAGAATAGCATTCAAGTAAAGAAGGAAAAGAAAGGGAGGGAGAAAGAAAACAAATAGACAGATAGAAAAACTGCAGAAAGGAACAGATACTGCATGTAGGTCTCCAGAAAAATAAGATGATGAACTGCAGTTCGGGGTGTGGTGTAGTCTCTCTAGACCACCCTGCCTCCCACACCGCCCCTCCATTGTTTCCCCCACGCCTGCTTAAAAATGCACCCCACTTCGCACCCCGTTATATTCCTGCCCAGGGAGAAGAAACTCGGAAGATCCCACACTTGGGTGCCAAACGCGCGTCTTCCCACCCTTTCCCATGCGGGGACACCGTCCACACGTGCCCCGAGTCATGCCCTCCCCTCCTCTCCCCCCACCCTGGCACGTAACGCCCCTACTTCGATCCCAGGGGGCAGGGGTAGCCCGACACCCGTGGAGGGAGCCGCCGCCGCCGCGGCCCGTCGGGGGGTTCCAGGGCGAGGCCTCCTCGGGGCCCAGCGGCCTCGGGAAGTCCCTCAGGAAGGCGCGGAGGAAGCCCTCAGGGCAGGCGGCCATGGCGCCGGAGGCCCCCCACAGCCGTGACCCTCTCTCTCTCTCCTCACACAAAACACACAAAACACACCGCGGCTCCCGGACTGAGGAGAAACAGGAGGAGGAGCGGCCTCGGCCAACGCCTCCCTTCCCTTCCCGCCTCCCCGCCGGCCGCCTTCAGGCCCGGCCCGGGGAAGCGGAACCCCGCCAGGGCTGAGAGGAGGAGGAGGAGGAGGAGGAGGAAGGGCGGGCCTCATCCCATCCATCGGGGCGGGAAAGGCAGCCCGAGAGAGAGCGAGAGCTCAAAGGGCTCCTTCCTGAGGCGAGCGGGAGGCAAAAGCGCGGACCCCCAAAGGAAGCCTGGGCTCGGCCGTCGTCTTTCCACGCGGGACGTGGAAACACCCGGCCGCTGAGAGGTCGGGCTCCACGCTCGTGGTTTCTCACCCTCAGGGGGGGAAATAAAACCTCTTTGGAAGAAGAGTACGGGTCTCGTCTTCGAAAGATTTCACACGGGGGTGGTGGTGATCGTCTCCCTCGCCCCAAAGCCCTGCTGGACTCCAACTCCCATCCGCCGTAACCAGGATCACTCGGGCGGATGGGGGTTGTAGTACAACATGGGGGGGGGGAGAAGGGAACACGCAACTCTCACCCTTACTGAGGCAGCCCCTCTCTGCGTTTGATGGGGTTGCGCCCAGGTAAGGATCGCAGCGCCATAGGGCAGCCCTAGCCGGGCCCATTCAGAAGTGCCGAGGAATACAGCCAGGCGGGACCTAAAAGAATATGGCCTTGCACGATCACTCAGTGCCAGGAAATATTTGTGAAAGGCAGCAGCCGTGTACCCTTTGTCTGCAAAATGCTTTATTTTATTTATTTCTTTTTGGTGGTGGTGGTGGGGGAAATAGCTAAAAGAAAAATATTGATGTTTTCTCTGTATTCATGTTTATATAAACACACACACAAAACTGTAGCTAAATGCTTTTGTAAAGTGCATCCTGGCCCACAACTGCTTTTTAATTTCACAGTAACATTTGCAGTTAAGTTTGGACTCTTGCTCCAGTAACCATGGCAGGCTACTCAGAAGTAAGCCAAATTAAATTCCGTGAAACCCGACTGAAACCCACTAGTAAGTCACGGCTTGAGCAGGCCCATTGAATCAATGGAACTTACATCAGCGTTGACTCACCAAATCACCTCTTTTTCAAAGGTCTACCCGAATGGCAAATGACTACTGAATTTCAGCCACTTTCTGATGACTGCTCCACTGGGTGGGGGAAAAGGCTAGATTTATTTCTGCCTGCTTTTAAGACTTTAGAAGACTCACTTGGTTGTTTTTGCTTGAGCAGGCCCATTGAATCAATGGAACTTACATCAGCGTTGACTCACCAAATCACCTCTTTTTCAAAGGTCTACCCGAATGGCAAATGACTACTGAATTTCAGCCACTTTCTGATGACTGCTCCACTGGGTGGGGGAAAAGGCTAGATTTATTTCTGCCTGCTTTTAAGACTTTAGAAGACTCACTTGGTTGTTTTTCTTACATACATACATAGACCTTTATTGGCATTTGATTACATTAAAAAGAAGTAAACAGGTTGCTAGGTAGAAAATATAAGGGACAGGTTGGAACTAAAATTGGGAGGGATGGGGGTTGCGGTTGATCGTAAGAATGGTTAACAAAAATTCCGCGACGAGATTGGTAGTAGTTGAAAGGGAATCACTAAGGAGGATTGGGAGGGGATCAGAGAGGGAGGGAGGGAGGGTTTGGAGAAAGGGGTTTAGTAGGGAAGATCTAAGGGCGGAGTGAGATGGGCAACGAAGTAGGATGTGGGTTACTGTGTCTGGTTCACGGAGGCAAAATGTACATAGTCTATTTGGGCGGGGGATGTTGGAGTATCTACCAAGATGATAGGCAGATGGGAAGATGTTTAAACAAGCGAGGAGGAAGGCCCTCCTTTTCCTTAGGTCTGTCAGGTGAAAGAGGTAACTGGCTGGGCGGCCCAGTAGGGGGGGGAGCCCGAAGTAGGATGGTGAACAAGTGGGATTGAGGTTTGATAAGAGGGTACGGGTTTCTTGTTCCAGTAATTTAGACTTAATGATAAGGTGAGCTTTAGGGAGGTCGAGGTCAGCCAGGATTTCAGGGGATAGGTCGAGGGTAGAAAGCTTGGCATCTACTAGTTGGAACCAGTTGGTTGTTTTTCTTTAAAGAGGTTTCTCCCAGCTGTTAGGTGAGACTGAAGAATACCACTTTTCTTATATGGTGCAACCTGATCTTATGCAAAAGTAGCTAAGCAGGAGCCTGTGGCTGAACATGATTTTCCAAAAGTTACAAATGAGTGCAATGTCAAGAATGCCCAGAATACTTCCCTGACAATCAAGTGCTAGCTCTCACAAGTCCTGATGCCATACCAGGAAAATACCCATCAGAGCATCACCACGGTGATAGCATGGCATTGTAATGACTGATCCCATCAGCCAAGCCAATGAACACTGGTTCAGAGCAAAGCACCCTTGTGCAGCAGCAGGCAACACCAAACCATTCCATCCACTGAAGATTTAACTAGCAAGAAGATGTAAATCACAGGGAACTGCTGCCTGGCCCATTTAGTTTTCAGTACAGATGTCAATGCCAGAAGCATTCTCCTATGGAACCAGTAAATGGAAGCTTAGTTGCCCCCTCCTTAAATACTATATATACAACAAAACAAAAAAAAGCTGTTTTTGTCCAGTCGTGTTCGCCTCTAGGGGGCAGTGCTCATCCCTGTTTCCAAGCCATAAAGCCAGCGTTTGTCTGAAGACAATCTTCCATGGTCACATGGCCAGTGCGACTTAGACACGGAACGCTGTTACCTTCCCACCGAGGTGGTCCCTATTGATATACTTGCATTTGCATGCTTTCGAACCGCTAGGTTGGCGGGAGCTGGGACAAAGCAATGTGAGCTCACTCCGTTGCGTGGATTCGATCTTACGACTACTTGGTCTTCTGACCCTGCAGCACAGGCTTCTGCAGTTTAGCCCGCAGTGCCACCACGTCCCTAGTGGAAGCTTAGTTGCCCCCTCCTTAAATACTACATATACAAGAAAAAGAAAAAAAAACAAAGAAAGCTGTGTAGTCCTTACACAATACACATACAGGAGAAATGATGTGTTTATTAGACCACTTAAAAAAATTTCAGATCAGCTAGCTTTGTGGGCCAAATCCACTTCTTCAGGCCATGCACTGATACTGCAGAAAAAGTTAGGAGAGTCCCAAAAATTCATGGCAGAAGTCTGCCAGGTATACTATTTAAGATGAGTTCAGTCTACAAGCCACCATGGGGGGTTGGGTGGGATTCAATCCAACCCAATGTCATCCGGGGTAAAGTATAAAGCCACACACCCCAAAAGTTTGAACTCATCTTAAGAAATATGTATGTGATCTGAAGAGAAACCAGAAGCTTATCAATGGAGGTTTTAACTGCATTATTCACTTTAATATTCTGAGAATTACATGAGGCTTCAAAAACACAGTTTCTGGTCATCCTGTTCTGAAGAATCTTCCCCTTTTTAGAGGTGACAGCTTAGAAAGTTTCCTATGTCAATTCTGTTGCAACACCATGAAGACTTGTGCTCGGGCAAATTCAGAAACACTTGGGGGTGGCATTCCTGAAACAGCAGCAGTAGATCCAGAAATATCAAACGTACAAAGCAGAGAATTACTTTACACAACTGATGGCAGACACTGTGGAGCACAAATCATTTTGGGTATCCTAAGGTACTGCAATCCTATGTTCCTGACGTACATGTCAGAAAAGGCAGAAAAGTTTTCAATTAGGCTGATTTAATAAATTCCATGTACTTCCATGGGATCTTGTAAAAGATCATGTAAAGCTGCAGCCAAAGGCATTTCAGAACATAAGAAAAGCCCAGCTAGATCTGAACAAAGGACCCTCTCTCACCCAGCAGTCTTTTATCCCCACGTGGCTTATCAGATGTCTTTGGGGAAACCCAGAAGCAAGATCCGAAGACAATAGCCCTCTCCCCTTGTTGTGACTCAGCAACAATGCTGCTCAAAAGGCATACCAAACCCTACCTTGGAGGTACCAAATAACCATGACAACTATCAGCCATAAGGGCCAATCCTCCATGATGGGTTTAATTCCATGGTAAAGCCATCCAGGCTAACGGCCATCACAAAATTGTATTGTCGGCAAATCCTTTATATTGACTGCGCACTGCATGGAGAAGTTTTCTTTATTTGCGTCCATAATCTCCTGTCCATCATTCGCTGGATCATCCCAAATTATGACAGAATAAAATGTCTCTTGTGTGCTTGCTTAACCCCATGCATACATTTTATCATGCCCCTACTTAGTCACCTTTTCTCCTAAACTACCTTTTCCCCAGTCACTGCAGCTTTTCCATTCATTGTTCCAATGCAGAGAACTGAATAATTTGTTTACGGTTGAAGAGACTGGAAAGATTCAATGAAACCGGAAGTTTGCATGAAGTTTCACTGTTTAATAGTTACTGTACGAGGGCCGTTACACAAAATAAGCAGCCAGTGCAGCCATTTTGTCTTTTGGTTTCTTTGGGTTTGGCCTCCCTCCAGGCCTCCTGCCCTTTCCTCTTCCTCGGCCCTGTCGTTTCCCCTGTCCTCCCCGGTGCATGGGATGCTTCATCGTGGCATGCTTTAACTCAACCAGATCTTGGAAGACGGGGTCGCAGAACACGCAACCCGTGTGCTGTGTCTCACTGCCAGGAAGGGGGGATTTGGCTTTATTGAAATCCACATCCACGAGGGCAGCATCACAGGCCTCGCACGTTTCTGCTGACACCCGGACTTTGTGCGCGTTTTCAAAGAAGTGTACAATCACGTTGCATTTGTTGCAGGCCATCTTCCACTTGGGTCCGGATGTGGGGTCAAGCACCAGCACTCCATTCTCACATTCCACGCACTGTCCAATTCCAAGCATGTTCAGAGAGTGTTGGCAAGAGGGGTGAGTACACTCATTGCAACCCATTCCTGGGGGGGGAAAAGCAACAAAACAAAACATAACAAAACCATGCGAAAACTCAGTATCTCCTATTCTCTCTCTTCTGTGTGGGAACAAGTAAATGACCGGCTGTAAAGTAAAGGTGTGTGGATCTGTGCTTTTAGGCTGCAACGTCTAGAAGGCAAAAACAATAACCCATTAACAAAATCTGCAATCTCATAAAGCCATTTTTCATGCCTGAAACAAGTGAGCAAGTGAGACAGTTCTGAATACTTAAACACTACACTGTACCTTTATTTTTCATGCCTGAAACAAGTGAGCAAGTGAGATAGTTCTGAATACTTAAACCTACACTACACTGTACCTTTATTCTCACTGTACAATTTCTGATTATGGGGTTTTGTGAGATGATTATGAATTGAAACAGGGAGTGGTGCTCAGATGTGGCTACTTGAGAGCAATGGCTGTGTAGAGGAAGAATTGCAGCAAGTCATGGGGAGCAGAAGGTACGCCAACGGAGAAGATCCTGCAGACTAGATAGCGCAACATTACTGAAAAGCCATCTCTACATTTTCTCTGAACGTTCCAAACATCGGCCCAAATCCTGTTGCTTTTACTTACAGCGGTAAGGCTGATGATGCCATTAGCTGTGGTGTGTTTTTTTGGAAATAAAATATTTCCAAACCTTTGTTTGGTGGTGTGTGTCAGAAATTCTTCATTTCTGAAAAATCAGTGTGGCTGATTACATCATCAGCCTTACATGGTGTGTGTTAACGTGGCAGGATTTCATCCGCTTGAAACAAAAAACTATCTGTTCATTCATATGTCCCTCAGAAGCACCTGCCAAATTCCAAATCAGAAACTATATATGCTCCAAGCACGTTGTGCAAATGAACAAAACTGATATAATCTAATCATAGGAATTACACGCAACCACACGCCTCAAGTAAAAATATGGTCACCAGCAGTGACCTTAAGGCTCAAAACAGTTTTCAGCTATGCACATCTGAGTTGCCAGATTGACAGCAGTTGCAGTTTTGTGATAAAAACCCATAGAGGAATACTGCCGGAAAAGCAATTAGCCAACATGTTATCTGTCAGCCGCCTAACCTTTTTTCATATCCCTGAAAGGAGGATGGTTGAAGCAGTAAGGGCACAGTGGGTAACTCTTCCCCCTTGATCCAGAGGACCACAGCACCAGTTCAAAGTCATCCAGAGGGCATCGTAACTCTTTGTAGAGTTTGATGGTACCGTTCTGAGGGAGGCTGTAAGTTTCATCACAGTGAGAGCAATGTAGACGACTTGGCTTGGCCTAGACAGAATGAAGGGAAAACACGCAAGGAAAAACACTTAACTTTTTTTTATCTCTGTATCCTACTGAAAAGTCTTCTTCCTATTTGGCAAAAATAGATTAAAATAAAAGATACACCCTACTGAAGTGTCACTTAGCCTTGTATGATTCATCCACTAGTTGCAGAAGCCTTTTATTCATCCATTTGCATAAGCCTTTTATCAGACAGGTCAACTAGCATTTTTGTTGATTTGTTTAATTTATATACCACCCCATTAGTGCCTTTAGTGCCGTGTTGGCCCTGAAATATGCCTGGGACCTTGAGGTGTTCCAAAATGTGGCTGTTGGAGAACAGACTTGAGCACAACACACTCATGATGACAACAGCTTTACTGGTTCCCAGTCTATTTCGACGGGCAATTCCATTAACAGCTTAAAAACAGGATCTCAAAATCACTGCTTCCTTGCATTATCAGCCAGCTTGCTTATTAAGGTCTACCACAGAAGTTCCTTCCAGTGTCGTCTTAGTAATTCAGAAGCAACTCATGAGGTGCACCACAGAGCCACAGCTGGGAGGCCCCCTGCTAGGGAGGGTCATTGCCACCTCCTCGTCACCCGTTGCAATGATTTTCCTATTTGGGCAGCCATTTCGCCTGTCAAAAAGAAGTTAGTCTGCTGACCCCTCGGGAGACTGAGTTTTGTATTGGTTTTATTGTTCAGTTGTTCCTATATTACCTTTTAAGCACATTGTTAGCCACCTTTTGTTTTCACGGAAAAGGCAGTGATCATATAAATATGTTGAATAAGCAAATGGAAACAAAAAACTGCCTTCAAAAGAACAGCAGTGTCAGTCTGCTGCTGGAAAACAAAACGTCCTGTGATGCTTTAAAGACTGAGCACATTTATTCCAGCACAAGCTTCCATGGAGTAAAAGCCCCCTTCATCAGCAGCAATGAAGTGTTAGCCTGAATCTCAGGTATACATGGCTGGGGACGCAACATCAGTACATATTTTCTCTTTCATTAAATTCTAGCTACTGTTTACCTGGATGTACTTCATAAAACGATGACATTTTCCACAGCGGGAAAGGGGCTTGCCTGTGGCAGCCAGGGGCGAAAAAGAGACTTCCATCAGTTCATCCATACCTGCCAAGTAATGGAGAGTTTGGAACTTTATAGATTTTTTTTCCTTTTCTCTTCCGAACAGAGAAAACCAAGCACCTGAACTGGTGAACAACTTAAAACTGAGTAACTCAAAACTTCCATAACCTCTCTGAAAGCTTTTAAAGACTGTAAATACTACAAATTAAAAATAAAATAAAATAAAGGGCATTGTGAAAGACAGTTGAAGTGCCTGCAATGGCTAGCTTAGGACATTCATGAGGAGATCCTAACATGAGTGTCTTAAGCTACAGCTGATTAGGCTTGACTGACGACTGGACAGTAGAGGGTACAGTGAAGATAAGCTCAGCACATCGCTTTGCAAGCCGCTCCGTGGACCGGAACTGATTTCCCTATAGCACAGTGGTCCCAAACCTCTTCTGAACTGAGGACTGGTTGGAGGGCAGGGTGGGTGGGGTTCTTTTTACAGGGATGGGGCACCCATGTGAGTGTGCGTGGGGCACCCGGGCTTGCGTAGGTGGGCAGGGCATCCATACATGCATGTGGGGGGGCTATGCGTGCATGGAGGGTGTGTGTGCAGGGGGCGGGAGATCTGTCTCTGCAGCCCAGTCCTGCCAAGGCCACGGCCCGATACCGGGATGCAGACCAAGAGTTGGGGTCCCCCGGCTATAAAGAATATGGTGGTATGACCCATATGGTGAAGAAGAAATGTAAAAAACTTGGAATAAATGTTTTTTAGCTAAGTGGACAGCTATTTCAGAGACTGTTTCAGGATGATGAATGACATTGGAGGGTCATTTTGTGGTCTCCACCCCTTTACAGTATTGGGTAGATTTGGGGATAATTCTAAGGGACCCACATGGGTAAGGGTGTGTGTCTGAGAGAGAGAGTGAGTGAGTGAGAAAGGATGATGGTGGTGTTGGTGGTGGTAACTAACACAGCCTTCCTTTTTTTCGGTCCTTCCCCAAGAAAATGCAACAAACGTATTGGATACATCAAAATATTCAACGTGTTTTGTTTACTTTTTGATTGTAAGAAGGGGTGAATAGTTACAGGTGTGGTAAAACCCTTACCGGCGATTGAATCAACAAAGTAGTGAAATTTCCTTTTGAAGATATCCAGGGTGTGTTCCAGGACCTGGTGATAATTTGCTTTACCTTGAGCAATTAGGTTGAGTTGTTTCTCTACTGCACTACGGATTGTAGGCAGGACAAGCTCTGCGTCTAAAAGAGAGCGAGAGAAACAAAGGTAGAAAATGTCCAAAAGGAGTACTGTACTGTGCAAATGCACCCTGGGCAAAATCAACCAGGAACCTCTCTGTTGTAAATCCCGTAAGGATAAACAAGATGTGTACCAAAACCCGCTGGTCTTCCAGGCACACTCAGCCTGTGGCTCAGTCCGGGGAGCTTAAAGTTCTACACTTTTACGCAGCATTGCTAGCATTCACCAACATTTGTACCGACATTCAGCCATTCTCACATCTAATGGTTGAAATGCTATTCCACAGCTACATCCGGGCAACAGAAATAACATCAATGGCAGTCACGGATTGTCACTGACTAAAGGTTTCTTTTTGTGATTTATTTCACTTTTTAAAAAATATGCTGCCTTTCTTCCCATAGGAGATCCAAGATGGCTCACAATAATTAAAATCGTACTATAATAACAAGTTAAAATTGCCATACAAAACTATGTATTAAAAACAATTAAACATTGATCAGGATTAAAACAAATATGAAAACATTAAAAAAAAACATTTTAACATCTCTAGAATTCAAAAATGAGTGCTCCTCACACATTTGTCACTGAAAAGTCTGCCTAGAAAGGAATGTCTTTGCCTGATAATGGAAGGATAAGAGGGAGGGCCAGTGTGATCCAAAGACTGGGAGCAGCCACTGAGAAGGCTCTATCTTGTGTTCTCACCAAAGGAACTTGAGAAGGCAGTGGAACTGAGAGAAGGTTCTCCCCTGAAGATCTTAAGCTTAGTCTCATATGGGATAATATGATCCTTCAAACAGCCTGGATCCAAGCTACATAGAGTTTTATAGATAATAACCAACATTTGGGGGTGTACATAGCTTATGGACAACGTGACAAAGTTGTGTGTATCCAGAAATTGCAAAAGGAAGCCTCTAATCTACTGCATCTGATGACATCACCTCCATTGAGCAGGCAGACCCTGCTCAACAGGATTTTGGCCGATGAAGTTTACATTGTTAACTTTTTTCTTTTAACCACATTTCATCAATTGTTGCCTTCAAAGCTAGACTTCTGTTCCCATAGAAGCAGACTCTCCAAAGCTGTCCCAAAATGCAAAGCAGAGTAGATATGAGCTCACCTATTTTATAGTAGCCATGGACCAGAACAATGCCCAGATTCGTAGGCTTCAGTCGGCGGCCACTTTCCACAGTGACATAGTTGCGCTGGCAGATGTTGTTGATGTGCACTGGAATGCTGGCATCCGTTCCTATATATAAGAAAACTTAGCATCTGTGTAACATCTTCATGTGCTCAAACTGCTATTTTGGTTGTAATCCTACTCATAACACTATAATGAGGGGGTGGACTTGACTGTGTTTTATCATTGAGCCAATGATACAGGCAAAAATAAAAGTATGGCCTTCTAGATTGGTAGCTTACAACACAATTCTATACAAGTCTGGTCAGAAATAAGTTTCAGTAGGCTGAATAGGACTTAATCCTCCATGAATCTATTTATCATTCCAGAACTGGGATAGCTGTTAGCTTTACATCAGATTGTCCCATTCTCTCAGTCTCACCCCTAATGGTAGATATATTCCCAACTACACAAACCAGGGAAGGTGTTGTGAACAGCACAGGAAACCTAACCATCAATAACAAAGATCCAACAGTCACAGGCTCTTTTAATTCACATGGCTAGTTACTCACAACTGGGCCACTGCCCACCAAACAAAAGGGGGCAAGAAAAGCTGCAAAACATTGCAGACAGATGACATTTGACCAGAGGCATTTTGACTTCGATACCTGAGATCACCTGCAGGTATCTCTGAGTAACAGAGAAGATTTACAAGCAAAATGTAAACATTCAGTTGCTGGTGTGTGCGTGTGTGTACATATATATATGTACACACACACACAAGCTTTGAAACTTTGTGTGTTTAAAAGTGTAAAAATGACCATGGGCACTGCAGGAAGAAAGTGCTTTGAAAATGAAAGAACTTTTAAAAGTGTGGCTTGAACTTTCCTTCTGCCTGGATGGATATTTTACAGAAGACAAGCCCTGAAAGACATCATTCTAAACTATGTTCCACACACTCAACACCTGCTGGCACACAGTTACAAAGGACGTAAAACAATAGCTTGGAAAAAGAGCTAAGGAGAAGACAGAAATAAAACCATATTCCCCAAGGCAGAAGATGTGCATCTAATATAAAAACACCAGAAGGGGCAGATTACTCTGTTACAATGCTACAGCAAAGTGGTTACTTTTTTCCCCAAAAGTGAATTTAGAAAGATGCTTGTATACTATGGATACTGTGGAAGCAAGAATGTGCCCATGAGCTCTGACACCAAGTGGCTCTGGTCATACAGAAGGCAGAAGAGCAGAGAGGATATACTGTAAGATTTTGGGGCTAATCAGCAAGGATTCCTCTGTATTTAATAATAGCGGCAACAAAAGAACTCTTCCCTCATTATTAAACTACAAGTAATGATGCAGAGAAAGGGGAAAACAGATCCTTTTGATTAGCTGGGGGAAAACTAGGACTGGATTTCTTTGTGAAAGAACTGTGAACCAAGATCTGGTTGGCAAATACAAATTCCTGGGCAGGTGCTTAGAGGCACTTTGTTCATTTTTGACATCCAGTCAATCCTGAACTAATATGCCAATAATTTCCAACTCACTCATTCACATACGTATACGCCACCATGGGCAGTTTGTTAATTTAAAAAAACAAAACACCAAATAATCATGATTAAATTGCACTTATTTACTCCCCCAGTTTCAGGGGTCCTCACTATGCTACTAGAAAAGCTTAGGAAAGTTACTTTTTTGGAACGACAAGCCCCACCATTCCTGCCAGCACACCTGCCGTGGCTAGGGGATTTGGGGGAGTTACAGTCCAAGGAAGTAACATTTCCGAACCCTGGAATGTGGTCTCTACCGATGCCATGTTTCTCCATCAGAGTGATGAGCTCTGCTTCCGTCAGGTAATCCGGAGGATTGGTTTGTTTTTCCAGAAGTTTCACTTCACTGACCGGGAAGATGTCTCCTTTCTCACAGCTGGGAAGACTTTCTTCGGGAGGAATGCTCTGCCATGGCATGATTTCAGTGAAACCTTGAAAAGGATTTTTTAAAAAAAAAAATTATGAGAGTAACTGTTATTAAATTTTCTTCTTTAACTTCATGTTATTTGGAGATTACTGGTTAGTATCAATCTTGCTCTGGCACTGGAAAAAGTCCCAATTATTTCTCATTTTGAAGTCATAATTGTCTCCTTTCTCACAGCTGGGAAGACTTTCTTCGGGAGGAATGCTCTGCCATGGCATGATTTCAGTGAAACCTTGAAAAGGATTTTTTAAAAAATTATGAGAGTAACTGTTATTAAAATTTCTTCTTTAACTTCATGTTATTTTGGAGATTACTGGTTAGTATCAATCTTGCTCTGGCACTGGAAAAAGTCCCAATTAATTCTCATTTTGAAGTCATAATGAGACATATTGAACAAAGGCTAGAATCCTACTCCTATTTCCACAACTTGCTGCAGCTAATGCCAGCTAATTCATAAGGTGCCGGGGAAACCTCGGTTGCACAATAGGGCTAACGGATGGAGACATGCACCTCATCAATTAACTGTAATTAGCCACAGCAAGTGACACAAATCTTACATGACTGTTAATAGGATCCTGCCCAACAAACTCATTTTTTTTCTACAGAAAGTACAGTGTTACATATTATATATTTATACAGGCTACCCTTGACAAAGATAGTACTTGTGGTCTGTACCGTGTTTCCCCAAAAATAAGATAGGGTCTTTTATTAATTTTTGCTTAAAAAATGCATTACAGCTTATTTTTTCCCCGTGTACAACAATCTATATTTATTCAAATGCAGTCCTGTCATCTTCTTCTGGTTGCTGCACAATGGTGGAGAGCGGGGTTTCACTTAACTAGGGCTTATTTTTGGGGTAGGGCTTATATTACGAGCATCCTGAAAAATCATACTAGGGCTTATTTTCAGGTTAGGTCTTATTTTTGGGGAAACAGGGTAATAAGTCAACCCTAAAAAAGTAAACTGCATGCTAAAGACAAGCAAGAAGCTGATTATACAGTCTGGACCCAGTGCAACACAAACTCTAACCAACAGTAAAACTGCCACTGGAATATTATATCTACACTGAGAGAGGGAAGGATAATTCACAATAGGTAAAATGCTAAGCCATGAAGTTACGTGTAATTAATACTGTCTGTACAAATGTAACATTTAAAACTTGCTTCCTACAAAAAGCACAGAGCAACATAACAGCCTCTTCCCTCCTAGTGTTATTCTTACAACAATTCCACGCATTGATTAGAAAGAAAGTTGTGCATATTTTCTGTACAAGGATCAGCAACAATCCTAAATCCCTAGAAGTAGTAAATATATGTCTCAGCTGCAAGGATACAAACGATGAGACGCACTGTTGTTGGTTCTTCTTCCTCACCTGGTGAAAGAACCATCTTTCCTACACAAGTAAACCGTTCCGGCCCAACACTGCACGCAATGGTAGTCTGGAGATATTTGCAGTCAGCACTGACGGTGGCAATGAAATGCCTAGTAATGTATTCGTACAGCCTCCATCCATCACCACCTGGTAAAATAGATTGTTGCCGAAGGCTTTGTTCATATCACAGTTTAGACAAAGCAAGTAGAAATATCCATTTTGTAAAAAGATGCCAAAAGAGTCTCATTACCCCCTTGTCCATGTACACCTCTTTATATCTTTAACTAGCATTTCCATTATGTTTCTGCACCGAAATAAGTTTAACCTTCTGTTGCCTTCTTTGCTGCAGTGTGTGGATGTAGGAAGGAAGCCTCCCCTCAGCTTTACAGCCAGCAAGGAAATGAGGCTTCTAGCCTTTTAATAAGCTTCTAACCTTTTGAAAAAAATGACATTTATAATATAGCTTGGGGCGGGAGGGGGGTAGAATGGATAGTTCTTCCTGTTCCCTTTTATCCACCAGCTACATGCCAGTGCTAGAGGTGGAAGAACAAGCTTCTGCCTGTCTGCAGCCAGCATGGGAAGGAAGATGTGTGCAGGTTGGGCTGGCAAAGAAGAACCATATAGTTTTCCTCCGCAAGCCTATGCCTTCACCTGCATGGAGCTTCTCATTACCAGTGACATCCAGGCTAGTGGATCAATGCAAGGCTGATGGTAAAAACCTCTTGTAAGTTCAGAATTATCAACCATCAGTCACCTAGCTCTGCTTCCGAGGCGGTTCTCATTGGTGTTATTGGGGGATGGTCACCAGCATCGTGGCCTTTTCTTGGTCTATTAATGCCTTCTGAGAGTAACACTTTTACCTGGGAGAAAACAAGAGAAAGAGAAAACAAGCTATGCACTGCTTTAGGGGGCAGCATCTGGCCACTAATTAGAAACATTAAATCCTGCTGATTTCAATAGGATTTATGCAGATGGTTAAATATCTCATTAAAATCAAAGACAGCTGAATCTGAGAATAGGATAAAGCATGTTTTCAAATATTTCCTATTATATGGACAGGACTTTGTAAGGTAAGAACCATTTTCAGTGCAATTTCTTTTTCCATCTCCATTTGCAGATATAAAATACTGTATGTGTGAACCAAAGAAAGAAAGAAAGACAGACAGACAGACACTTACTGTTTCAGCCCAGTAAGGATTATTAGCCTGCTGTCGCAAAGTGCCCTTCAAGTCAAAGTTTTCTGGGTAATGGGTAGTCTCTGTTCGAGGATAACTAATATAACCTTGAGTATACAACCGTTCAGCTATTTGCATAGCATGCTGTGGTCCCATTCCTAGAAGGAAAACATTTATAGTTGTTTAGAAACAGACTGTTAACTAGACAATCAGTTTAGCAATAACATGTTTACAGACAAAGTGGTATGGCTTTTTTCAGAGTTACATACTCTTCAGTGAAATCTTTTCAACAATTAGGAATGCAGGAAGGTGCCTTATAGAAAGTCAGATCACTTGTCCAGTTAGTGATGATTTATTCTGGCCAGAAGGGGTTTTCCCATGACCTGCAACCTGCCCATTTTATTGGCGAAACTTGAATTCAGAACCTCTGCCCTTTGCTATAAACGGCATGACGGGCTTTCTTCAAATCTTTCTATTTGGCTTCACCCTTCCTGCTCAGCAAGAAATAAAATCTGTTTTTCTTTATTTTCTCTGTAGCATAAACCAGAACTGCAAGATTTAATATGCTGCATCAATTTAAATTTTGGCTAAATAAAAGATGTTTAACACTGATTGAACAGCAGAGTTAAGGGGGGGGGACTCTAAAGCAAATGTAAGTTTCACCTAAAACAGGATTTCATCTTCTCTCATACACAGGAACATGCCACATCTAAGACATATGCCTATGATGATACATACACACATTACTGAAAAACGATGACATATGCTTCAGAACTGCTGTTTTGTATGTACGCTTAATCAATGACCCATACAGATTTTAAAAGATAAATATTTCCTTAACTAAATACAGCAAGATAAATAAGACACTGTAAGAGTTACAAATCTAGCTGGCTGAATAGCTCAGTGAGTCACAGGTTAGGAGTTTAATTCCCATTATGCCTCCTGGGAGATGAATCGCCCTGTGTGGCCTTGGACAAGCTGGGGAATGGTAAACCACTTCTGAGTACTCTATACCTAGAAAACCCCAGGGTTGCCACAACTCAGAATAGACTTGATGGCATGTTAAAAAAAGAAGAGGGAAGAGAGAAAAGAATAAACAAACGAAACAAAGGCTAAAAAGAGTATATGTGGTTTTTTTTTTTTGTGACCATAAAGTCTCCCACATACTTCAACTAAATACAAGGAGTGAACAAGAAACATCTGTGATTCTTTACCAAACTGATTCAATGCAAATGC